ATATGTGCGTAAGGTAGTTGACCACTTGTAAACGACAACCAACATAAAAACCTTGCATTTTTTTTAAGCTTAACCTACTTTTTTGTATTGTTACTGATAAGAAGTAGCTAAAACATTCAACAGTTCACCAGTCGTTATCGTTAAGGAGATAGTAATGTCAAATAATTTGTTTTACAACCAGAAAGAGTTGAAAGTTTTTTGTCTTTTTACTATACTTGCTTTTCAGATGAGCAAGTTGGTGTTGGTGATACCAAGTCTGCTTTTTTTCATAGAAGAGGTACGAATGTAGAAAAGTCGAAAAGAGAGCTATAAATCCGCAGTTAGTGAGACACGAACACCGTAGAAGTTAAAAAGCGCGTTTCTGTATCTGAGAGAAATATTTGCTGTTCTTGCTGTCAAATAACTTTAAGAAATTTAAGGTTATTATTTGAAACAAGAAAAAGAACTTGGAACTTAGATATGGTAAAATATTTCTAAAAAAGCGGCCTATTTCAATATTCACATTGTTATGTTAACAATTTGCAAGTTACTTTCGTGCAATGATGTGTTGTCATGTATCAGAAAAGAGTCGCTTTAGCTGTTTACCATTTCCTTTGCTGTTTTTACCTACTCTTTGCAGAACTATGATAAACCAACATGAGAATGTTGCTTTTAAGATCAAAATTTTATAGAAAAAAAGAAAAAATAATAATTTTTTGCGAACAATGGTTTTATGTGATTGCTGTATAAAGACCACATTTCTCTTATTATAAAAATATAATTAAGAATTTAAAAGTGGTGAACAATACTAGCGCCTTTATAACTTTGGTGCATTAACCGCTTCTTAAAAATTGTAATAGTGTTATTGAAAAGCGAAGATTAGACTAAAACGGAAAAAAGTGTATGAAAATGTGGGCAAAATGGTGCAGCTTTGCGCTTGGTCAATTTTTTATTGCATACGGGAACGGTTTTTGTTCTGAAAAGTGACTTCATTTGAACATCAAATATGTTTATGTCACAAAAAGATAAAGCCACTGTTGCTATTTGATCAGTCTTTAGTGATCGATAGCGATTGTTCTTGAGTTTCTACGTCCTTTTCACCTGTATTTTATTTCTGTTTCTTCTATTGATTTTATTCGTTTCTTTATAGTTTATATTGTTCGTTTTGTATTACTGGTTTGCGTTCTTATGATATTAGCTTTGTTTTCTTAAGTTATTGTAGTGCAAGTGATTGAAGTACCTGTGTACAATATTACTTCCAAGAAAATAAAGACTATTAATAAATATAAGTGTTCACATCTTATCATTGCTAGATCAGAGTTCTGCTACTAAAGTTGGTAGCACTTAAAAGTTAGTCCTCAAACGTTACCGAAAGTGCATTATCAGTGGTTGGTGCTGTAGCGCTTAAGCGGCTATTTGGTCTGCAGTATGAAGCAAAGAATTTAGAGCTCTCAAGGAGCATAGTAGGAGGAAGGCATAGACCGTCCTTCAATAAGGAATAGTGTGGGTAGTCGCCACATTTATTTCTTTTTGGTCCAACCAGCCGGACTCGAACCAGCGACCTAAGGATATACAGTCCACTGTAGAAATTTATTAACTCTCAACATTAAAAGTGATACAAAAAAAAGCTGAAGCAAGCTGCCAGTTTCCTTTTCAAAAAAAACAAAAGTCTTTACTTTCATTCAGTTTTTTTTTTAAAAAAAAAAATTTCTCCTCATTATACTCGTTTGAACTGTCACAAACAAAAAAAGATTTTAAAAGTATGTTAATCAAAGCTTTTTTTTAAAAAAAAAATACACAGTGGAATTCGATGCTGACTGACATTCCCAAAACTTATTTGAAAACATAAGTATTATAGCATTACATGTTAAAAGGTAATTTTTTTTTTCGTTTTTACACTTTGCACCATTCTGTTAAATGTCTTAAAACTGGGCTGTAATATTAAGTAGGTAGTGTAAATGCAGCTCCGCTGATGTTATGCGGTTGGCTTTGTTTGAGAAGGAACAGCGTGGAATTAAACTGAAAATAATGTAACGGCCCTCGGAACATTTGAAGAACATTTGAAAAAACTATACCCAAACAAGTCTGCAGATTGTCTGGGCAGGTCGCGCCTACTGAAATAGAGTGAAACATTGCAGAACTTTATTAATTGCAGTTTCAAATAGATTAACACAATGAATATTGAAAGCAGTGTAGCACTGCTTGTTTTAAATATAGTCCTATCTGTTCGTCTTTCCTGGTTAAAATGTATTTACGAAAGCTTATTTTGTCACATAAAGCTTTTACAAATATGTAATGCGTTTGAATAATCATATAAAAATTGAAAAACTGTTGGTTTTGCAAAATGGAACTGTCAAGAAAAAAACTGGTTTTTGTGTTGATAACCCAAGAATAGAAAGGTATTTGTTTGATCAAGGTTTTTACGTAAATTAATTTATGAAATTTATATTTTTATTTTTATCATTTAATTTTCATGTTAAATACGCACTTTTAAAATTAATTTGAAAACCTCTATCATTTTTGGTTGGAAGGAGATGAGACAAGTTTGAAGTGATATTACTGACAGTATTTTTTGATTTGAGATATCACCAGTGAATGACGGCAACTAATAAAAATTTTTATAAAAAACTGACATTTAAGAATTAGTTGGCAGCTAAAACCAAATCTACTTAAAATTCTGATATTAAATTCAAATTAGCTGTTCATTGCTAAAATTACAAAGAAACACAATAAATTTGGTAACAGTTGTTTTGAAGTTAGTATAAGTAATTTATCAATTTCTTGGCTGAAATTTAAGCCACCGTTTAGTCAACCACATTGCGTGCAATCGTGCACTTGAGTTAAGCACAACTCTAAAAAAACTACTTCACTCTTTTGTGTTGACTGTTTTGAAGGAAATTTTTCGCTTTTTTTTTTCCACGCACATCGTAAATGCTCTGATATGCTTGCAATAAAAATCACACCTAATAAACTTGGTAATATTTTAGCATCTAGGCTGAAAAACAATGTAAGTGTAAATCAGCTGTTCTACTGCAGCTTGCAGGTGATGAGATTAGAGAAATTCAACTGGTCCAACAACTGGTAATACTGTACTTTCCATAATTTTTTTGTGATTAAAAAGTAACTGATTTATCAGTCTGTTTTGAAATACCAATTTTTGGACAGACTTTCTTAGAGTAACTTGGTTGTGCAACAACTGTGGCCCAGAAATAAATCATAAAATTGTTTTTTCTTCTATTTATCCCTCTCTTCCAAAACTCAGCAACATGAAAATTGATGTAGAGCGCGCAGTTAATCAGAGAAAATAAAACAGCTCAGTAATTGTCAATACTTTTTTTTTCGATCTGTGTCTTTCAGGCTGATTTTCGTTCTTCTTTGAACTAAGACGTCTCTTATAATTTTACAAAACAATATCAGCACAGATCAGCACCAAAGAAGTCAGCTTTTATGATAAACTATGATAGACAACCTTCTAAAATTTTAAAATGTCCAACATAATTTACTTTTTTTACCCAGTTTTTTATGAGTACCGTACAAAAGACAAGTTTTTTAGTGCAGGTCGCTGTGATGTAACATTAAGTTTCCTCAAGCTCAAAAAACTAGCTTATTGACAAAAAACAGAATGTTAACTTCCATGAAGATCTATGTCGATAAAAATTTAGAATGGTCAGCACTATAGTAATTAGGTTTTTGAGCACAGATCGGTTAAAATTATCCAGATTTGACAAAATCAATTGATATAACTCTTTAAATTGTCGTATTTTTTTGAAATAATCAATACTTTTTAGCAGTTATTTTGGTTTCTCGCCAGTAAACCACAACGCTGTTTAAAAGACGAAAATTTTTGGTACACTGTAAAAGAATTGTTACCACTGACAACTGTATCTGTCTAACGTGGTTGCAAATGTGAGCTTTAAACATTTATCAATGCTCTACAATTCACCAAATCTGCAATAAATTGTGAATTCAGTAAAATCTTCTCCTCATATAACCTATCAAGAAATTTTCTTGGTAAAAACAACGATTTTCTCCTAAGCAATTTCTTTGGTAGCTTGTCGCTTCACAAAAACATTTTTGACGCGATAACAACAATGGTATTACAACAGAGAATTCAAGAAAAAATGTCAGCTGTTCGTTGACAATTTAAGAAAGAACCTCATTTTGTAACGCGTATACCAAGTTATTTTCTATGTGAAAAAGTTAATATGTCTTCAACAAAAATTCACAGAACACTGTACCAAATTACTATACAGTTCAACAGAATAACGACACTTAGCTACATACAAATAAAAAGTAGACGTTTACGCTTGAACACAACGAAATATTCAAAATAATCAAGCAAAAATGGCACTGTTAAAAGAAGTTTTGCAATAGGCACTTAAGAAATAACTTTTTATTATTTGAAGATTCATAGACAACCTAATCAAACATACCTGATAAGTTTTCTTCAATTTCATATACAAACCATTTCAGAAGTCTGTGCAGCAAAAAAACGGCTTTTTATTCGCTAAAACAGTATAAAAATAGCATTCTTAATCAAACATTTGGTTAAATACTTTTAAACAGTTTCTGAAATATTCGTTGATTGAGCATACTCATGCGTAATTTCCGCTAATTACTTAATTTTAACCTAAAAAAGTTCTTTTGCATGCAAACATTTGCAGATACAGATTAGCAATCATATTTGACAGAACAAAAAAAATGAGTCTCCGTAAAGGTTAAGTGAGTGCCTCCGCAATTACAGATATAAAGTATTTTCACTGAAAAATCATCTGTGATAGGAAACAAAGTGTTTCAAAACTTTTACGCTTCTAAAACAAACGTTTAGTAGAGTCATATAAAAGATTATTCAACAAAAATTTTAAAAAATTTAAAAAAACTTTATCTCCAACAAAGTCTTTATTCCAGTTTAAATCTTAAATTCTCTTTAACAGAGAAGCAAACATTCTTTTGCAACCAGAGACTAAAAGGTTACGGTTTTCAGTCAAATAGCCTTTAACGTGATTGTTTGACCAAAAATTTCAGTGATTCCATCTGCTTTTTTGTATCTTCTTTCCACTTGCGTACTTGATCCCTCCACTTCTCCTCCTCACTCGATGAGATTTTTGACTTTTTCTGAATAGATTAAATGCTTCAATGTTGTACTATGTAAAAAAATATTCAAAAAGAAATAATCTGACTTTTGAAGAAAAAAGTTGAAATAAAATATAAAAACCATACGACTGCTTGTTTGCCAAGAATTTCCAAAATTCTTTGGAAAGAAGGTCTGCAGTCAGGATTCAAATGCATGCACCTTTTAAGGACCTTCTTTACTGTCTCTGGTGCTTTATCCGGAATAGGAAGTTTCAGCTCACTATAAATTTTGTAAATCTTTTTAGACTGTAAAAAACAAAACTGGACAAAATTTTTTTCTTGTTAAACGTGTCAAAACAATGTTTCAAAAAATAACCCATTGGGAATACGACGAAGTAAGTCGTTAGGCTTCAGGCCTGCGTACGGTCTTACTGTTGTTAGCATTTCCCAGGCTACAACTCCATAGCTAAAAACATCGACCTAGAAGGTTTAACTTTGTTCTTTTTATTCCCGGAACAAAAACATGCACCTAGCGAAATGTTTCATGAAAGAACTAGAAAGGAACCAACTTTTTTAGAAGTTCTGTCTCGGCGCATCACTTCTGGTGCCATGTAAGCGTATGTGCCACAAGTCGTCATAGTTTCACTGTACTCTTCTTTCAATTCTCGACAGAACGAGAAACCGCTTAGTTTAATGACATCTTTATCATTTAAAAGAATACTGGAAAGTGAAATATAGTACATTTTTTGAACTTAAAATCAACAACGCAAAATTTTGAAGGAAAACTCACTGTTCAGGTTTCAAATCGCGATGAATGATATTCTTCTCCAAATGGAAATAATTCATCCCTTCTGCGATTTCTCCAAGCCACTTGTAATACAGCTGCTTTTGAATTTTGTAGTCATTAGCTAACAAATCACACAGTGACCCCTTCTGGCAGAACTTCATAATAATACAATGCTCTCCTTGCGAACAGTAAGCGCTGAAATGCGATTAAGTTGCAACGTTTGAAAAATTATATTACGCAAAAGAAAAAAAATGAAACTACTAGCAAAAATATACTATATAAAAACAGTAATAGAGCAGCTTTTAATAGGATTGAATAGCTAAAAAAAACTTACAGAAACTTGACAATATTCTTATGCTTTAAATTAAAGCTTGTTAGATGAGTCAATTCATCTTTTGTTCTGAATAACTTCACAACAACTTTTCGTCCATTCAGCTGACCGTTGTAAACGCTCTCGTAACCACTTATTTTTTCATCCCACAATAAATTATCATCTGCTTCTGCAAAAATTTTGTATTATTATTATTACTCGATGTATACAGATCACTACCAGAAAATGGTGAACGCTTTGGTCGGAAACGATAGAAATATTACTCCAGATCACTGGTTATCCATAAAAATTCTAATATATGATCTTCTCGCAAAATTTTGAGTTTTTTTTGGTAGTAAGCTAAAAAATTGCTTGTTGGTTAGCCGTCTGTTTAATTTACAAATTCTGGCCTTATTTACGTCAGCGATTTTGTTTCCACCATTTTCTGTTTAATACATTTTTTAATTATTGATTTTATTCAGAAACTCGAAATCATCTGAAATTTTGAATGAAGTATAATTACGGTTAAGAATTCGTTGAACCAGTTACAGAATTGTACCAGCATAACTTATAATTTGAACAAAAGAGTATAGGGCCAAAAAATCTAGTCTACAAATGATATATAAGAGATTAAATTGATTTGTATTTTAGACTGCTCTTTTGTGTAACAGCAAATTCTTGAAAATAAAATTTTGCTCACCTGGAAGTTCATCATCTTTTTTTTTTGTTTCGCTTGACATTACACATAGAACACACGTGTAAGGTAGTTGAGAACTTGTAAACGACAGCCAACACAAAAGCCTTGCCTTTTAAGCGTAACCTAATTTTTTGTACTTTTACTGATAAGAAATAGATAAAGCGTTTAAAAGTATACACCAGTCGTTATCGACGAGGAGTTTATTGTGCTTCCTTTTCAGATGAGCAAGTTGGTGTGGGTGATAACAAGTTTGCATTCTTCTATAGAAGGGATACGAATGTCGGAACCGGTAAAAGAGAGCTATAAATCCGGAGTTATCGATGACTGCGAAACACCCTGCAAGTTAAAAAGCGCATTTCTGTAGCTGAAGAAGTATTTCAGTTATTGCTGTCAAATAATTTTAGAGAATTTAGGATGACTGTTGAAAGCAAAAGAAAAAGTTAGAAGTAAAACAGAATAAAAAATTTTGAAGAAGTTTTCTAACTAAATATTCACAATTTGTGTTAAAAAGTTGCTAATTAATTCCTCACAGTTATTTGTTGTCATATATCAGGAAGAAGCTGCTTTTATTGTTTTATATTTCTTTTGCTGCTTTTCATTTGTTCTTTACAGAAGTGTAGTTTATCGACTCAAAAACGCTACTTAAAGCCTAAATTCTTGAGAAAAAAACGATATGAGCAAGTTTTTATTTCTTCAACTTAACTAGAGAGGAAACGTAGATGGCTGTAATTTTTCATCTACTTCTTTCCTTTTTTTCTGTTTCTTCTTAAAAAGTGTTTTAAAAAATATTTTTCACAACATTTATGTTTGCTTTAATGTTGACTTGTAAAGTTTGTATTTTTGCAACAGTTACACGTTGTTAGTGGTAAATTTTAGTGCGAATTTGCAAGAGGGTTCCCAAATTTTTTTTTAATGCGTTTGTCAAGCAAAATTTATTGCTTTCATCTAAACCAACCCTGAGAAGTCATTTTATGTTGCGGAAAAGCACTTTTTTTTCTTTAAATTTTGCCAAATAATATGTCGCTGTAACTTTGAACAGTAACCTTTTTGAAGATTAAGGTACAAGACTGTTTTTTGTGGTTTTCTTCTAAACAGTGCTTTTGTGTGACTGTCATCATGGCTGCCAATCTTTTTTATTTTGCCACTGTAACTATGGGTTTAAAAATAGTAAACGACATTGCCGCCTCATGGAATAGAACTACAGAACAGTAATTGTTTTTTTGATCGTCAACTGTGGTGTAACAGCTGCAAATAGCAGTTCCATATGTGTTGTTAAAACAGATAAAATTCAAATTAAAAGTGAAAAAAAATTTAACAAATAAATTTATGCAAATTTGGAAATTTACAAAAAAAAAAAAGTATCCTGTAAAAATGAGATAAAATTTGAAGGCGTTTAATATGGCTTAATTTGTGCTTTTAGTTTAATGGTTTATCGAACGTTTTGTTCGTTCGTCTGTTATGGTTCTTGTATTTGTTGTATTTTCGTCAAGAGAAACTGTCAAATTTAGATGTTGTATAATTCATAATAAGGATATTAACTGTAGACGTGCTGATATACCTGCTTAAGTCAGTTTTTGAAGTTTCCGATATGAGAGGAGAAGGACAGCGCTTGAAACGGCTTGCACATCAATAGATTAGCGAAAGTTTAATAAACGGTGATTAAGTGGAGGCATGATGAATTTAATAAAAAGATTTGAGTCTTTTTATTATTATTTCTTGTGGAACAAATCAAGTGTCGGTAATTAGCTTTTCAAATCAGATTTTTCTTAGGATATTTGGGTAAATTAGGTGTTTTTGCCCTACAATACACATTTTTATTATATCGTTTTATTATATCGTATATATTAATTATACCGTTTTAAAGTGTCAAAAATCATCGTTCTTATTTTTATTTTTCAAAAGAAGAAAAGAGAAGAAACGAAAAAAGCAAATGAACAAGAAACAAATTACAGCAATAAATCTTTGGTAAAATTTTTAAAAACAACCATTTCTTAACAAAATTGAAAAAAATTTTTTATTTTAAGCAATTTTTTGTTAATGTAACAACTCAAATAGTTTTCATCAAGAAATTTAAGTCAGTAAAAATTCAGTTAACGACAGATGATAACTAAACTAAATAAAAACAAAATTTTTGCTCATATTTTATCTATTTGCGAAGCATTTACAAGATTTTTTAAAATCTAATATTACGCTAATAAAATTTTTGTAGCAAATGACATTGGCATAAAGTTTTGTCATATGCTCTACTACTAAAATACTGGTCGATAAAATGTGTTTTTTATCAACACATAATTTAGAATACTTTTGACGACATTTCGACTTTTTCTAACATTAATTAAGCATGCTGCATACACTTTAGTTCGGGCTTTTCGAGGCCAAAGTTTGTCAGTTATCGATACCAGTTTTCGTACATAAGCATCCGACTCTAAAGAAGCAGCAAAAAGGTTAAGCGTTTACAGAGTACTAAGTGTAAAAAAAACAAAAAACAAAAAATAATAAATATGTCAAGATATAAATACGTGAAACATGTTAAAAAAACTGCAAATTGAAGATGTAAACAGTAATTTTTTTAAGTTTAAATACGCACAGCTATATCCAAATGTCAATTATTTTTTCAGCCAAAAAATTTTTTAAATTATAAATTCTGTTAAAAAATGAAAATTTTTTTGTTATGCGAAAAAATCAGAATAAACTGTCGCGTGCACAGATTAATTTGGAAATAAACAAGTACAATTATTGCTTAAATATCGTAGTTGGTAATATTTTTTGGCAAAACTTAGACTGTGACAATTTTAAGTAAAACGTTTCACCTAAAAAAGCACAAAAAAAAAACTTCTTTATTTAGACAACATTTTACCTTCAAAGTCTTCGTCTGTCGATCGTCCAGGTTCGAAAAATTGATGGAATACATCGACTTTAGTAAACAACAGGATTAACTTGACACCTCTGAACCATTTTCCAGAAACTTTTTCAACTAAGTGAAAATTTTGATTCAGTTTTTCTGCCATAATCTTAAAAGTAATAATAATGACAGCTATTTAAAAAAACCTAAAGAAAAGAAGAGAAATAAAGACTAAACTTAAACCAAGTATAAAGTATAAAGATATCAATAAACGCAGTGCTAAAATTTATATGTCAAATTAGTACTTCATCACTGCTTCGAAGATCCATCATTGAGACGCACATAATAATTGCGCAAAATTTTCTATATTTTTTTATCTGTGTTTTTGTTGTTTTTGACGTATAATCTACTGATACAACTCTAAATTAATTTTCTTTTAAGAGCAAAAAAAAAAAAAGAATTTTCTTTCAGATTTTTTATGTAAAACGTTTTATTGCTTTTTTTGTCGTCAAAACTTTCACTAAAATACTATAAACAATATTTTAAACACTAAACAAGTTAAACTGTACTGTTTATAACACCCACTCTATTGAATTATTAGAGTAATTAAATTTTAGTGTAGAATCTTCGCCATCACGATGTACACATAATACATCCTCAATCGTCGGTTGATAACCAATTTGAGCGATTCTGTTCATTGATGTTCGTTTGGTAAATTATTGGTCAAACAAGACTAAGTTTAAAGAATTTATTCTATTTTGTAATCATTAAGAGTTTCAGCTACAAAAACAATTTTTTCTTATAATAATTTTAGCATTTTAATATTTAGAAATTTAGTTAACTATCGAATATATAAGATAAACAAAAAGAAACCTTTTTATAGCATTAATAAAAAATATTGGATAACTGTCGTTTATCATTGTAGACCAACGATTCAGAAAAGATTGGAACTGTTCATCCTGTTGAACTAAACATAGCTGTTCCAACAGTGTTGGTTCTAATTGACCATCATTTTCTATGTTCTCATAATTTTGAAGTTTTTCTGCTATTTTCGCCGTTTCAGTTGTTGCAAATACATACTAAATTTGGTTACATTAATCAGTTATATAATTTTCTGTATAAATTTATTAAAAATATCATTATATTTTTCTCAAAAAAATAATAGTCAGTTTTTCTTCGTTTTTTTTTTTTAATTTGCTAATAAAAAATACCTTTTAAAAACGAGAAACATTGATGTTTTCACTCGTCTTGTTTCAAGTGTTGTTATTTATAACAGTCATAACAAACAACAACAAAAGAAGATAGATCTAGT